TATTGATTTACATAAAAATAATTCAATTTAATACTTAGCTGCTTGCTAACAGACGTAAAAAATGTCTAGTAATATCCAAATCTTGTCCGACCATTAACTGTTTTAATTATAGTTTTACCTTGCTGAATTTGAGTTAGAGTTTAGTTTCTCTTTCATTACTGTATTATTCTTTAGATCAGGGAAATTACGCAATCAAGATAAACCAATTTTCAGGGAGCCCCAACTTAATGCCCATTTGACTGTAACTGAATTTAAAACCAAATTACTACCTAATACATATATGATTATTTGTCTCTATTGAAGCACGTCTTTTTAATACTGTACTTAACTTTAATATAGCTTATGTCATGCCATAAAACGAAACTATCCTAATTTTATTTAATAGTTCACATTTATTTTGAATTTAGTTATAGGAACATCCTGCAAATGGCTTATGTCATGTTTTGTAATTAAACTATCCTAGATTGTTAACTTTGTTTATAGAATATTTATTTTTATTCATGTTGTTTTTTATGATAACAACCAAAAGTAAGAAATGCAGAAAATAGCAAATTGTAAGCTCTCAGCCTGTTCATAAAATATTTATTATAATTTATGTTGTTAATTTATTATTAAATTTCCATTTAAGATAATCTGGGAAATAGCTTAGTCATTCCATAAAATGTAGTTAAAATATATTGTTCATGGAACATTTATTATAAATAATGTTGAAAATTTATCATTAAATGTACAAGGATACTACTGTTTGCATTTCTTTGACGTAGAGGTCCACCCCGATGAATAGGTCTTGGAGTTCTTGGGTTTTTTGGCCTGCTTCTGAGCTGCTTCCGAGGTGGAGGGTTGGGATGAGCCGTTGGCCTCCAGGAGACTGCCACCCAAGCCGATGGGCTCAGGGCCGACGTGTCCCTCACTGCGGGTCTGGAACTGGGCCAGGAGGGGATCCCGCACCGGCTTTTGCAACTGCCTCTGCATCTGGAGCTGGAACTCCGGATATGGCTGGCGGAGCAGGTGGCTCTTGGCCGTGAGCATGATGTTGGCCAGAGCTGTCCCGGTGCAGGCGCCATTCCGGCGGGTCATCGAGTAGCGGCGACATGGCGCCGGACTGGGCGGCTCGTCGGGCAGGTCGGGCACGCGAGGGGCCTGGGAACTGCCACCACGAGACTGGGACAACTCGGACGGCAAGGGCAGCCTGATTTGGGAGAGGTTGCCGCTGGACAAGGCCTCCTTGATGTCGGAATAGGTCTGGTATCGGCCCACCCAAAGTGGCTGCGGCAAATGGGGATAGTACATCAAGTTGCTGGCGAAGAAGGGCTCATTTTCCACCTGGTTCGAGCTGGTTGAATGCTGACGGAACTTGCGGGTCATGGCCATGGCCTGGTCGCAGGAACGACGAAACGACAAGGGATTCCGTTGCCTGGGACCCATAAAAAGCGATGGATTCGGCTGCCTGGGACCCCCATTCTGGCCATTCTGAATGGGGTTCCCCGGAGCTCGCTGTACCGGTTTCGGATTCGGATTCGGATTCGAAGTGAAAGGATTGGGGTCCCTCAACACATCCGCGTAGCTTTGGCGCATCTTTAAAGGAAAACCACACCTAACACATGAACTTCAATAACCAAACCATACTAAACTCACCCAAACACTTGAGTGTTTCTTGATTTCCTTAGGACGATTCATCTTTAACCAATTAAGTTTTAAATTCTTTAAAGGAATGTTAGATCAAAAAACTAAATGATTTTCAGACAACACTTCAGGTTTTCACTGGCTGATGTTCACTGACGGAATGACTTAGCCTTTTCGCTGATGGGAAAATCTGCATTTTCACTTTGACGTTTATGTCAGAGCCTTCTTAATATTGCCCAAAAAGGGTTCCCTATTAAAATAATCGATGGGAAGGTGGTAACCCTACTTGATAAGCGGGGATATTGACCTATCCCAACACTACACAGTTCAATATCAACCGCATGGGGATGTATTAACTTATTTCATCAATTTTTCCGCTTTGTTTGCCTGCTGAATAAGTACAGCCATGGTGAAAATTTTAGTGTATTTTGCAAAAGTCAAAATTCAAAGATTCGTAGATTTACTTTTGTTTAATTTAATTTTTATTCATGATATATTATCAGGACCCACATTAATTACCATATTATTATTATCTACCGCAGCTGTTTATTTCGCCTTTGTTAATCCGTTTCCCTCGGCTTTGTGTTTCTTTATTGTTTATTGTTTATGGTTACCGATTTTAACTTTTCAATGTTTTTCCTCTCCTCGGACTGAAGCTCACGTCGCCGCTTAGTTGATAACCGAACGCCTTACCGAGTGGATCGCGAAAAGTTGACTTATGTTCTGAGTTCTGGATCTGGGTTAAGTGCCGCGGGAATACCGATAACCAGCTCCAATTCTAGCTCCAATTTCAGCTCCAATTCCAGTACAACTCCACCCCCCAAATGCTGGTAAGTGTTTTATGGCCCTAGAGGGGTGACAAAAAAATAACTCTATAATATTTACCCTACTTTTTACATTCGTATTTACGTATTTACCCATTGTCCGAATTCTTTGTTGCCATCTTAAAACTCAAACACGACACAGTGACACCATTTCGTGCTCTTTTCTCGTTGCTCAGATAATTTGTTTGCATCTCGCCGACTCCGCTTGGGCTTTATTATTATTTTTTGTATTTATTTACTTTATCTTTCTCGTGTGTTTTTATTTAGACTCAAATGTGACTCAAGTGTCTAGCATGAAAACAAAAATATATTCGCTTGATTTGCGACTTTAAACGGCGAAACTATAACTCTTAGATCATGTTCAATATATTTTGAGTAAAGAATGCTCGTTTATGTCCTACTTGAGAAAGGCTTCCCAAAGCTGAGACGCAATTGGCATTGTAAGATGCACTTCGCACGCCGGCTGCACTTAAAATTGGCATATTGCATATGGAAAAAATGCGTTACGTGCTCGCCAATTTTCCCATATCGCTCATTCGTCGGCTTGTTTAGAATCTTCAGCTCAAAACAAAACGGAAAGCGAAGCAAACCGCACTTGCTAAAATCAAACGCTAGACAGCCGAGTTTACAATCAAAGCAAAATCAGAAAGCTTATACTAGCCAAGTTCTACGCCCGCTGACCAGTGGTGACCTAATTGGCTAAAAGTAGCTAGAATAACTAATATAGTTTTAGGGACTATTAACTCAGAAGATATTAGAGACAACTTTCTTATTTAACTGGAGCACTATGTTCAAAGAAGTGTGACTCTACCTAAAAATTAAAAAAAAAGGTATATTTAAATTCCGCGACCTCCGCAGAATTTCCCAAAATTTTAATAAAGCCAGATTTAACAACTTCAAGCTTCTTTTTTTGCTGACCTGCACAGTGGGTCCGAGGTGAAATAACAAGCCAATAAAACCATATATGAGGGCAGGTAAAACCCTGGAGAAATCCGCCAGACACGCGTCTGCTTGTCGTGGGGAGGTTCTCCTCAGGATTGATCCTAAATCAGGTCGTCGACGAGTCGTCTCTAACTACCTGATAACTACTGGTCGACCCCTTATCGGTCACAATGTGTTTTTAATCTTTTTTTGACGGTCCAGGCAGACATGACCCCTTATAAATACTTAGATATGCGGCCAACGAGGATCAGTTGACTTCTTGAACCGAAGTAGAGAGGTCTTTTCGAGCAGTGTGACATTTTGTTAATCGGAAAGTGTATTTTAAATCGTGTCTGTGACTTCATTTTATAAACTACAATATAGTGTGTTGACAAGGTATAAAACATTATATTGTAAACCAAATTATAAGCCGTTTAAATCTTTACGATATATTTAATCTGTTAAATGAGAGTACCTTAATTAAAAAAATGGTGTGCTAAAATACTTTAATAGTAATAGTTTGGTGACGTGTTAATTGAAGTCAGTAACATTATTGAATTGGGTAAGTTTTTTCAAATAATTAAAATTTTACGTTCTTTATTTTTAAGTTTCTAAATAATGTTTATGAAAAATTACACATATTTACTGAAAAGATGTGGGACCTTTTAAGCTTTTATACATAATTAAATGTTTACAAAAGGTCCTATTTACTCCAAAACATTTTTTTTTTTCAAAATTAAACCCACCGTGCTTTCGATGCGGACCGCTGAGTGAAAGCTTTGCCGTCCAATGTCGCGTCGATAGCCGCCGAAAGAGACGGCAATAGGTCGGGGGATAAAGACAGCAGCATTAACACTGGGCTCCATGACCAGATGATGACACTCGAATTGGGTTAGGCGCAATATAAGCCTTATTCGAGATACGGGGCATGCGTCAGCGGGCGGGTTTTCTTTGTTCTACAAATTCAGCGACGTCGACTGAGGCAGCGAAGGTACTGATATGATAATACCCGGTATCTTACGGAGCACAGCCGAGTGTTGTATTTAATGCAACGCAGGGTATATAGGTTTATATCTAAAAATTAAAATGCCTTAGACTTATGAAGTGTTATAATGCAAATTGAAACACGAAATAATGTTTAACCATGCCGAAATAGTTTAGAACACCTCCTTCGTGGGCCAGGTCGGTTTTGCCCCACCATCACAAACAATTTAAGAGATAGAGATGTATTTTAAATACTTTCCATAGGATTTGTTACAGTTGTTCTACATAATATTTATTCATCGGCTTAATATAGATAGAAAATGTCTATTCTTTCATATAATTTCCATACTTCTTGCTTCAAAAGTCATATGCCTAACAGGTATCCAATAGTCGTCGGGCTAATGGCCCACTTTCATGCTCACGATTCTCTCCTGCTTATTTGAACTCTTTGGCGCTGATATATTCTTGGAATTATGCACAAAGACTATATGGCATGGCACTTGCATAAAGCAACGGCTGCGGGTTCATTCCGCTCGAAATCGAAAATCGAGAGTGAGCGAAATTGCTGTTGCTTTTCTGGTGGCTGCGACTGCGACGTTGGCAGAGCAAAAAAGCGGCAGCAACAATTGCTGGCAGTCCATTTTTGAGCTTCAATCATACGCGGGCACTTTGTTGTTGTTGGTCAAACCAGTTGGGCGGAGCGTTAATTTCACCGTTATATTCTTGTTAATAATAAAACTGACTTAAAACACATTTATGTTTTGTGTTTTTTTTTTTCGATTTACGACAGTGAATTCAATGTGCAAATGACGGCTGAATTTGCGAGTTCCCAATTTGGCAACGCATTTTCTGGTGCAATTTTCTTGGCCCTGGGATTTACTTTCGAGTGCTGCGTAGATCAGTATTTTTTTTGTTTTGCTCATTGTTAATGAGAAGTGACGTCAAACGGGAAATATACAAGCAACTCTTTGTATTTTCTGCGTGCTTGTGCTACTTGTTTTTTCTGTGAGTGTAACAGCCACTGAAGAGACTGAACAGATTTTTGGGTGAAAATAACTTCAAACTATGCGAGTATTGCTGATGCAACCAGATGAAATAGTGACGCGAATAGAACCAGAAGTTGCAACAACTAAGGCGACAATTGCAAGTGAAACGGCAGTACCATCACATATTGCAGATAAAGGTGGTGACTTCAAGTAAATTTTCGGCAACACCAATAGCAATTTTGAGTGCGACATTAGCTACAAAGGCTTAAGGGCAAGACACCAGCAATATATTGTGGACAAACAGCTGCAACAGGCAGCAAAATAAAGGTGCAACACTAAGGCAGCAGCAACATGCTGCTGGCGGAAATCGCAGTCAAGGAAAACATGCTGGCGCCCTCTGGTGCAGCAATCAAGCGAAAAACCGAGCAAGAGCAACAACAGCAACGTAAACAGCACAGGAGCAACATCAACAGCAGAAACATCCTCGGCTGCAGCAGCATCATTAACGACTACAATCGACAATTTCACAGGCAGCAGGGAAAAATGTATTACAATTCCAATTCCAGACCGTTTTGGATAAAATTCAGATCGACGGCAGCCACTACGAATCCAACGACAATATGTGCCACTAACGACGATATGTGCAATGCAGAAGCAACAGCAACATCAACAGCAGCAACATGTGAGTTTGTGATTCTTTTCCTCTTTGCTTTGCGCTGTTTTGCTTGTTAATTTAGCGTGCACTTCTTGTTATGATGCAGTTTAATCGTACGCCACACGTTTCGGGTTTACCTTTAAAACCAGCTGTGCACACTTGCAGCAATCAGCTGATTGCCACCCATACGCACAGTGGGGCAAAAAGGATGAAAAATACACATTTATCACCAGCTCAAAAGATGACAATTTTCAGAGCTTCAAAATTAAATTTTTTTTATTTTGAATATCTTCTTATTAGCCTGTTAAAGTTGTTTTTGCAGTTATTTATATTCCTCAATAACTAAATAACAAAACGAATACAAAAAATTAAGAAAAAAGCTTTTAAGCCTTAATTAAAAATGTATTTTACTTTTCTGTTTCATTTCCAACAAATTTAATAAAAAAATATCCTTGAAAAAGCTACATATATTATTTTCTAAACCTTAAAAAAATACTTTAATAAAACTTTGTGAAAAACAAATAGCAAAGTATTTTTCATTTTCGAGTGCAACAAAAAATCTGGGTCTTCCGAAGGTCAGCAAAATAATTTTTCTAGCATGTTTACTGAAGTTATTCAACAAATTCCAGAGCAAAATGTAAACAAAAACGTTTTGTGTAAGAGCTATTGTAATTTCAAGATACTGCCTGCTCATGAATTGATGACTTGTAGGCTTTTGTATACAAACTCTCAAACTAATTTCAATAAAATTTGTTCTTATCGAAGGCATGCAAATTAGTTAAAAGTTTCGTCTGGGTATATCGCTAAGACTTGTGGAATGTCACTTTTTGGAGTTAAAAAAAGTACAATTATTACAATGTACGAATTTTAGCTAAATAATTCGTAAAGTATACGGACCGGCTCAAAAGGAAATGATTCAAATGCTCTTTACTTTCTTCCTTTAAAAGTGGTTCCACTGTACCCATCGACCAGGGTTATCAGGGCAAAATGCACAGTGCGAGACTTGACCGGTCAAGGATGATCCCACTCGAATCAATCTTGCGGCTGGAGGAAAACAAAAAGGAAAATAAAACATCAACATCATCATCATCATTATGGTCGTCGTCATGATGATGATCACATGCATTAAATGCGCCGGCAACAACAATAAAATCAACAACAATCACAAAGGAGCGAGGGAGACAAGGCAACGCACTTACGAGGTCAAAGTACGGCAATGAACTTCGCCGCCGAAAGAAAAGTTTGTTTTCGAGGTTGAATTTAATGCCCGAAATGGTGGCTAAGGGGCGCAGGAGAAATGTTCTCTTTTTGTTCATTTGTTTTTTGTTTTTGGTTTTTTGATTTTTTTGGCAATGGCATTGGCATTTGCCAAAAACATCAGCAGTTTCTACTTAGCGCCCCATATCGAAAGCTCTCGAAATTCAATAAACAATAGGTTCAATGCACCTAAGACGCAGTAGAATTCAATTGTCGAAAGCTCTGTTGATATCTGCGAAAGCATTTCACTCGTTTGGCCTTCAGAACTCGGAAATGTAAATCGCATTAAGTGCACACACACTCGTGCGAGTAATCAAACGTTTGCATGTGTTTCATATGGAGAGTACTGTGATGCTTGTAAGCATTGTTAATTTAATGATCGACAAAGAGCTTAGTGATTAACTCAATTTAAAGCGCTTTGAACTACTGTTAGTTTTAAAAGAAGATCAAATTTAATTTAACCCCGCCAGCAAAAAAGTAAGAAAGTATGAAAATAAAAAGGCTTTAGATTTAATGTTTGTAAGATCTTACATTCCCTTGATAGTTTTCTTAAATTTCGAAAAAAAAAAAGATTTTCGTATTCCAATTAGTCTTATTAACTTTTTTATTCCTTAAAAGAATAAGACAACGTTACGTATACGTTGTGTATGACCATTAATAAGGTTACTCCTTTAAAAACAAGCTCACTTTAAACAATTCAAATTTGTTCAAAGGAATTAACCAGTTTTGGTTAGAAGTTCAATTTATGTGACTTAACCAACTTTTTTCAAAATTCCAAGACACAGCTTAATCGATTATTACGTATACGCCAAGTATGACATTCAGATGGAGAAAATAATTTAAACTATGTATAGATATCCGTTCATCCAGCCGCTGAAGGATTAAAAATCGAAAAGGCAATTAAATATAAATTCAATAAAGCAAAAGCCAACTTCCGGTCGAAAACTGCCAGAGTTGTTCGATTTCCGCATTAATAAGCCGCTGCAGGTTTCACTTAATCTTAATTTATTTGTATTTTTTGGGATCTCTTTTTGGGTTTTGGGATTCGGCAAACAGGTGGCTTTCGCGTCGAACAGGCGATTAAATATCCAATACCCCGCCTCCCTTTTTGCAGCAAAATCGCATAAACGTGTTTACAAACGTAATCTTCACGAAAGTGCAGGGTATATATAGAGTGTATATTTATATGTTTATGTGTCTGGGGAATTACTTCCTGTGGCAGATGAACAAAGGCGCTGAAAAAAGAGACAGGAAGTGCTCGCATGAAACGAAAACAATTCGCAGTTGTTCTTAATCATGGCCCAAGACCATGAGGACCATGATCGTCAGGCACATTGCATATTGATGATAATTCGCAATTTATTAATTGTTGGGGGACAATTCACTTGGAACAGGGAAACGCAGATGTCATAATATCAATTTGTCAATCGTGGCGAATTATGTTAAGATAATTTCCAAAAATTAAATTATTATTAAATAAAATCGTCTAATCCAATTTTATAAACATTACATTACATCCCCTTTCTCAGCAAAACAAAAAACTATCAAAGGGATGACAAACCGTGGTGATATTTGTCCAGTGACTCAGTGCCTACCCCAACACTTTTCGCTGCAGCCGAGATAGCAAGGCCGCAGGGCAATGGGTGGTGGGTGGGGGTGTGTTTCGTGAGTTTTGTGTGAAGAAAGCTGCGGTTCAATCACCCATAAACACTTGATTCTACAGAAACACGCGCGACAAAGGTTGTTTTTTTTTTTTTAATCTGCAGCTAGTGAAAAGTTCAAGTACCTGCACCAGCTCCCGCCCCCTTTTCTCAACCCCTTCCGACGTCCTTGAGTTTTTTGTTGTTTTTTTTTGCAACAGAAGTTGCTCTCACTTTCGCTTGATATATGCATATTGTTAATTTTTCGCTCTTTTGGTAAATTGTATCGCACTCTCTCCTTTTCGGTGACCGATTAAAGCGCACACGCTCTGCTATAAGTATGCAATAATGTAAGCAACAACAAAAAAATATATAAACAACAATAGCTAAAGCAACAATTTCGGTTCGTTACACCGATAAGAGCTTTTTTCGTTGTTTTTAGCTTTGGGAAATGCAAAACGTAATTGAACTTTCGCCTGATATCGCATGATTTAGTTAAATAATTGGTTGGCATTTGATTTGGAACTATAGACCTTTTCTAAAAGTAAAAACCAAGCATTTGCGTTCAATTTAAACATTTTAAATTTTTAGCCCCTTTTGAAATAAGTATATTATACAATTATTTTAATGCAAATAATTTATAATAATTTATCTTTAAGAAATGTTTTACATTTTCTTATGCTCTCAAAGAGACTTTAAGCCTATTCGCACACCAGATACAAATTCATTTTCACTGTACCACCAATCTTTCAGTTGTTTTTAAAACTATTTAAACAGAGAGCTTCAGCATTCAAAAATATAATATATTCTACCTTTTTTGTAATGACTTTAAGTTAATGTTTGCATTTGTGAAACGTTTGTTTATTGTTCATTAATTTGTTTATTTACAGGTGAGTAAAACCTCGTTATAACGATCGTCTGCGCAACCAAACTTTACTATATCTCCGAGTAAGTGCCGACATCCCTAAAGATATTGCCAACACAAGGTTAGTGACTTTGTATTTCGAGTAACGTAACATAACTCAAGAAGAAGTGTCGAAAAAGGCCAAAACCACTTTGAGATTCATTTCCAAATTGCGCATTTGTCAAGAGTCAGGAATTTAGAAATGTATACCATATATTTATTTATGTTCATAACAATATTTATATAAAACTTGTTGCGTTTCGAAAACAATTAGCCCGAAATGCAATTTCGTATAAATATCGGGCTGGCGCATAAATTAAATTGGTTTTTTGTACAGGTAGAGAAATTTCTTTTTATTTTCTGCAAAAGCTTAAGAATTAATAGAAGCGTTAATTTTTCGTTTTTTAAAACTTGTTTGAAAAGCTTTTAATTAAAATTGGAAATGGGTTTAAGTGGTTAAAATTTGTGGAGTTTGTGGGATGGTTATATCCTTGGAATATGCAGGTTAATGCACGATTAAAATTGTCTTGTTTGCCTTAGTGCACCAGAAAGGTCGACAGCACATTAAACCGCCGGTAGGTGGGTGTGTGGGAGCACCAAAAAAAAAAAAAAAACAACAACACAAAATTATAACAACATCGGGAGGTGTCTCTAGTGAGCGGGGAATCAGGTTCAATGGCCAAAACACAAACCCAACACCCAAAGCACACACAAAACACAAAACAGAAAGCAGAAAGCCAAAACTCACCCGGCCAGATGGGTTGGCAAATTGGAATCGAGGCAGACAGAAGACAACAGCCCCAGCAAGTTCAATGTTGTATGCTATATGACGTCTATATATTGTACGGATCCCCGTGTATGTACTGTATAGTAGGGGTTGTGCAAAGGCGACGAGTCATTAACATTGGCCGGAGTTCGCACAACAAATGATTCGTTGAACCTAAAAATCGCAGATAGAAAGTTTGGGGGGAGGCAAAAGCTAGACAGTGTTTCCCAAGACAATTGGGGCCCTTTCTTCGTGCCTTTTCCTGAAATGATAAACTGGTGAAATGATGAAACACCCGTCTGAAATCGCTCATCAGGATTACACATGATAATTGGCCAAGGACACGTGTTGTGTTTTTCAGACAAAGAAAACGATGTGTACATCTAGATGGGCAGTATCACAAAGGGTGAGGCAATTGAAATGCTCTTTATAAATACTCCTGAGTATATGTACAAAATAA